TCCTTTTCTCTCCCAGAAAGCAATGGAATCGCTAACAGAGCAAGTCCATGGCTTTGTATTCACTGGATGCCCGGCCTTACGCATATCGTGTAAGCCTGCTGCACATTTGTAAAAGGGCATGATAATACTCCTTCCCCTAACAGACCTTGGTTGGTAAACGTGGGCTAACAGGCCGGCCGCTGATTGGAAGGCTGGAGGTGTGACATTACCCAGAGGTGTTTCTGCAGAAGGTCTGGCAATCTACTTTCCCCGAACCAGCCCCATCCACCAAACCCCAGGGGCCAGAGTTCTACTCTGATACCTACGAGGTCACTCAGCATTGGAGTTAGATCTACAGCAAGTGGTTTGGGGAACACCCCAGCTTACCACTTCATTTAAATAACATTGTGATCAACAAACAGTGACTTCATATGCCGTTTCTGAACCAACTCTTTCTGGAATGAGACAGCCTCATTTTTCTCCCTTGGAGCGGTTGGTGGATTTGAGCTACCAACCTTGTACTTAGCAGCTCAACACCTAACTCACTATGCTACCAGGGATCCTTCATTCCCTCAACCAAAAAACCTCCAAACTCACTTCCATCAAGTTGATTCCGAGTTCTAATGAGCATATAGAACAGAGTAGAACTTCCCCTGTGGGTTTCAGAGACGTTAACTCCCTAAAGGAACACAAAGCCTCATCTTTCTCTCTCCGAGTGGCTGGAGAGTTTGAACCGCCGACCTTGTGGTTAGCAGTCCAACACCTAACCCAGGGTGTCACCAGGGCTGCTTCACTACCCCATCTCGAAGCCTTTTTATGAAAACAGTAGCTGTCCCTACCCCCGCCCACAGCTCCTCCCTCCCTGCCCCCTGCCCTGCCCACCCACCCCTCCCAGGCACCCTCTGGGCTGTGAGAGGATACAGGTCTCGATGTTGGCACCCACGATGTATCCAGCGACGTCAAAGTTGATACGAATGAATTTTCCCTGAGAGTAGTAGGGAGTGGGGAGGCTGAGGCTTAGGGTCCTCAACTCTCTGATTCCCAGGCATGAAGTACGGTCCTGCCCAGCCACACCCACCTCTTCCAGAGACTCATGTTTGCCTCTTGACTTTCTCATGTGAACCCCACTCCCATGGGGAGGGCCCCAGTCAAGGGAACCCTGGGGAAGCCAAGGTCCAGCCCCCTTTAACTTCTTGCCTTCAGATCCCAGGGCCGAACCCCCAACCCCCTCAGACCTGGAAGTGCTGCTCCTGGACTCCTCCTTTGTCCATACACCCACACTCCTAAGCGCTCCATGCCCCACCCGCAGCCCAGACACCCACAGCCTGTTTCTGGGACACACCGCCAGACCCTGTCCTGCCCCAGCACTCACGAATCGTGACGAGTTGTCATTCTTCACTGTCTTGGCGTTGCCGAAAGCCTCCAGGATGGGGTTGGCTTGTAGGAGCTGCCGCTCTAGCTCGCCCTGCCGGGGCGTGGGAGATGGAGCATCAGCGAGAATTGGGGGACTTGGACAGGGGAACAGGACCCTCTTGGGGAAGGGGGAGGGAGTCTGTGTTTCCAGCGCCCGGGTGCCTGCATGTCAGAGGTCTTTGAGCGTCAGAGGTCTTTGAGCGTCAGAGGTCTTTGAGTGTCAGAGGTCTTTGAGTGTCAGAGGTCTTTGAGCGTTCTGGTTTGCCCCTCAGTTATGTGAGGCATGCTGGGAATCGTCTCTATTATTCTGGAGTGGAAAAACAAAATAACGGGACCACAGGACCACCGTGTGATACTACGCTGCGATTCCATTATAAAAACGAAGACGACGAAACAAAACCCCACCACAGTACAAGTCTGTTCATTAGACAGGCAGAATCGCATTTGTAAGCGCGCAGGAAGGCAGTGGTGGAAGACCAAGAGGAGGAGCAGGAATTTCGCTGCCTTTGACTTTGTTTTTGCACTCACCATGATGTGCATGCTTGGGGGAGGTGGGAGCCACAGGTGGGTTTTAAGCAACATGGTGGTATTTATCTTTCCGGTTATCAAGAGGGACTCCATACATGCCCTACCCCTTTTACCCAACTAAGCTAGGAGTCCCCACAGTGGCTTCTGATGGAGTTCCATGCTGGCCACTACTTTTGTCACACCTACACAGGCGGTTCTGACACAGGTCAGTACGGTATCTTTTTTTTTTTTTTTTAGTTTTCACTATTATCTGTATCTTGCTAAACCCAATCTTTATTTGACTTTTGGGGCTACAGTAGGTCTGGGAATGATAATGCCAGCATATTATCAGTGGCAACATTGTATGTAGTATTCATCCAGGTGATTCACAGCGACCCTGTAAGACAGGGTAGAGCTGCCCCTATGGGTTTCTGAAGCTGTGAGTGTGACACTTTACAGGAACAGATGGCCGCGACTTTCCCCTGTGTGGGTTTGAACCACTGACCTTGTGGTTTAACAGCCCCAATGTGTAACCCACTACATCACCAGGGCTCCTATACTAACAAGATGTGCACACACACACACACACAAGGATGCTCACAAGTGTAGTTTTCTGCCACTGGAATACGTCATAAGTCAGGGGCTACCTGGATTCAGGTGCTTGACTCACTCATTGAGCAATACATCCTTAACCTTTTAGTGCCCGGCAAAGGGGCTCAATGTCATGAAAGTGAGCCCCTCTTGCTTCTTTCCTAGGCAGGTTCTCCAGGGCACTGGGCATTTCCCTGTGAGCTATCATAGCCTGGCCCCAAGCCTGGCACCCAGTAGGTCTGCAGCAAATGGCTGTGTGAGTCTCTGGGCTGTATGAATGTACAGGGGCCGTGGGCCCTGTGGACATTCAGGTCATTATTAAAAGACAGTTGTGGGGCCTCTGGGCTGCTGTTTTTTATAGGCCAGTCTGTTGGCACACAGTAGGGCTGCCATAAATGGCAGTTTGAACACAGGTTATGCTACACAGACTGGCATAAATGGCAGTGCAGAACCAGGCTGTACACACACAGTAGGACAACATCACTGCCAGCTCACACCCAGGTTGTGCACACGTAACACATAGTAGGACCACCACACATGACAGGGAGGGACTGGGCTGCATATGCACAGTAGGGACACCATGAACATCAGTGTGGGACCAGGCTGTGCACAGAATAAGACTGCCACACATGGTAGTGCGGGGCCAGGCTGTGTGCACACAGTAGGACCAGCATTAACTATCAGTGCAGGCCCAGGCTATGCACACACAGTAGTGTGGGACTAGGTTGTGCACACACAGTAGGGCCTCCACAAAAGGCAGTGTGGGACCCTTGCAGGTGTGACCACAGGGACCTGGAGTCTTGTGGACCAGGAAGACTGGAAGGGAAGGGGTAAGGGGTGGGGTGGGTGGGGTGCTCCAGGGGATTCCCTGCTACTCACATAAGAAATGGTGCCGACGGAGGCCTGAGGAAGTCACAGGACAGGAGACACGGACCAGGACACGGCACATGGAACATGGACAGACACAGGTGACCCTGAGGTCTCAGGTGGGGAGGGGGGGAAGGGGCACCCAGCAGGCTAAGTTTGACTCTCCCTGCTGTTTAAGACAACAGATTCACCCACTAGGGCCTCAGTCTCTCAGTTTAACCAAGAAGACCATCCCCACCCAACTGCCTGCAGGACCTAAGTGAGTGACAGCGCCCCCTGGTGAGGGTCCAGGGCTGCTGCAAAAGCAGATGCCTCCACTTTATCCCGGGTGATGGGCTACAAACATTTTTTCACCGCGTGGGTGGGGGGCTGGGCACCCCTTTTTCTGAAAAGGGGGCGCTAGGCCAAATACATTTGGGAACCTATGATCTCGAACGATAGCCACAGTTTGTTTCTAAAACAGACCCAGGTGTGGCAGGTGTAGGCGGTCTGGCCTACACAGAGTAGACACTCCAGAAATTAAGTCTCCAGTATGTGCTGGGCTGGGAGCCCTGGTCAGCACCAGGCAGCTCGCCAAGAGGTTGGCAATTCGGACCCACCAGCTGCTCCTCAGGAGAAGCTGTGTGCTGTCACACAGGTGATCTCCTGGACAGTTCGACTCTGTCCTACACCCCCAGGAGTGGGGGAGGCCTTCAAAAAGCTGGAGGGAATTCTACCCCCTTCTCCATTCGGTTTCTTCCCCGGCCTGTGCTGTTGCTCTGAGTCAGCATTAACTGCTCAGGGAAGGGTTTTCTTTCTGTTCTTGCTTTTTCACCTAAAGGTGGGTGGTTGAAAAGCCCCCTCTCCTCACCCCCTGCAGCTCCAGGGAGGAGGGAGACTCGGTCGTTTGCTTTTCAGTAAAGGATTCAAACCCTTTGCCTGCGAGTCCATTTCTGACCCCAGTGACCCGGCGGGGCCTTGTCGAGTTTCTGTCATCTTTGCAGAAGCAGACAGCCTCATCTCTCTCTCATGTGGCAGCTGGTGGGTTTGAACTGACAGCTGTTCAGTTAGCAGTCCACTATTCAACCTCTGTGCCACCAATGCTCTTCTGCAGAGAGGACAGCCTGCCCCCACCCCGCCCCCCAGGGCAGTTCGACTCTGTCCCATCACTGAGTTACCGTGAGTCTGAATTGGCTCCACAGAACCCAACCATGACTGTGCTGAGTGCCAACAAAAGCTCCAACTGGGCCCTGTCTGTGCCAGCCCCCTTGGCACCTATCATGACAACAGGCACGGGCAGCCAGGGATCCTCACTCCGGCTGGCCCTCTGCGAGGGAGGCAGTGAATTCTTGGGGGAGGGCTGTACCTGCATACTCCATCTGGACCAAGGAACACACACCTATGTAGGCCCACCAGCGGTGGCAGTGTCTCCAGCAAGTGCTTTTAAAACACCCAATGAAACCCACCGCCTCAGAGCCAATTCTGACACACCACGACCTGACCCGGTAGGGCAAGGTAGGTAGAACCGCCCCTGTGGGTTTCCAAGGCTGTTAACTCTTTACCGGAGCAGACAGCCTCATCTTCCTCCTGCAGAACTGCTGGTGGGTTTGAACTGCTGACCTTCCAGTTAGCAGCCCACTGGGCCACCAGGGCTACTGGCCCTGTCTAATAGACAGGGTGGTGGAGATGGCAGGGGAGCCAGGGGGCCAGGGCTGGAATGGTGGAGACGGCAGGGGGTGGGGACAAGGACAGGGACAGGGGTGGGACAAGAATTCGCTTACAGGGACACCGGGATCCTTGCGGCCCTTTGGTGATGAGGCCACGTGGGCCAGGTACTGGATGACCTTCTTGGTATTTTCCGTCTTCCCGGCTCCAGACTCCCCGCTGTTTGGCGGGGGTAGAGGGAGTGCAAGGGGAATGACATGGGGAAGCAGAGCAGGGTCAACAAGCAGGCCAGGTCAGTCCTTCCCCCAACAACCCCCACCAGCCGGGCCCTGTCTCCTCCTCCAGGAAGTCCTCCTACACTACTCACGTGCACAGAATGGACTGATCCTCACGGTCTGCAAGGGAACAGAAGGAGGGAGAGGGGCCGTGTTACCCAGAGGGAGGGTCTCCTCCAGCAGCACCCCGGCCCCTTATGCTGGCCACCCCCGCCCCTTGGCAAAATCATTAGCAAAAGCTCAAGTTTGGGTGCCAGACACTCCTGAGCATTTGGTGGCCGCTCTTTTCCTGCATGAGATCACCAGGCCTTTCTTCTGAGGCACCTGTGCGTAGACTCAACCTGATCAGCTTTCAGCTAGGCGTTGAGCACCTTCACTGTCTCTTCCGCCCAGAGATGGGCAGGGACCAGTCGTTACTGTAAAATTCACACTCTTCGCGGCCATGAAGTCGGTGCTGACTCACAGAAACTCTATAGGACAGAGGAGAACTTCCCCTGCAGATTTCCAAGACTGTAACTCTTTATGGGAGTAGACAGCCCCGTCTTTCTCCAGTGGCTCGGCTCGTGGTTTTGAACTTCTGACCTCGGGGTTAGCAGCCCAACATATAGGCACTATGCCACGAGGACTCCTGATTTTATGCTTGAGACACCATCGTAACCAACATTCCACTAGATGCAAATTACAATGAGGATTAAGTCCATGGAACAAATGCTAGAGCCACATACAACGAGCGGTTCCTATCTCTGTGTAAATTTACCAAGCATATATAAACACATCGCATGCAAATGCATCCTGTTTGCTCTATCACCAAATACACCTGTATTATTAGAGTTTATAATCCCACTGCTTCCCAACTGAATACAGGTTGAGAGTAGACTAGGCAAGCCAAGAAGTACTGCTACACATTCATCACACGGCCATCAAATCAATTCTGCCTCACAGCGACCCTCTTGCACAAGGTGGAGCTGTCCCTGTGGGTTTCCCAGACGGTAACCCTTTTACGGGGAGCAGGCAGCCTCATCTTCCTCCAGCAGAGCAGCGGGTGGCTTTGAACTGATGACCTCGTGGTGAGCATCCCAGGGTGCAACTCACTACGCCCCTCCCTCCGGGCTCCCGGCATCATCACAGGAACCTTTCCTAAACAAAAATCCCCAAACGCGAAGCCACTGTTCTTCGATGGCTCCCCCATCCAGGTCTGCCCACTGCCGCCCTCTCTCCAACCCTGCGGCAAAGAAATGCTGCGCTCTTTTGGCAGGCACCGCATCAGAAGGGCAGTTTGGGCAGCCTCGGGGGACCCAAATCATGATCCTTTTCCAACGTTCTTTTCATGTGGGGAACAAAAAGAAGTCTGAAGGAGTCAGATCGGGGTTGGAAGGTGCACGGGGGGTAAGGTTTCTCAATGAGATTCCCCAAGGGCAGCCCTGGCTACCCTCGAAGAATGAGCGGGAGCATCGTGGGGATGGGAACGGCTCCTTAGAACAACTGGCTCCGCCCTTTTCTCATCAAAGCACTGTCCTTTGTTTTTTAATGTGTTTCTAATAAGACATTATGTGATCGGCCTGTGTCCGTTGTGATTGGCCTGTGTCCTTCTAGAAAAAATCTATCCTGATGACCCCCGGGGTGGGGTGGGTGGGTGCCAAAACACAGCAGTCACCAAAGCCTTCTCAGCTGGCCTTGAGTCCAATGGGCCCAGCAGAGTCCCCCTAGGAAGTCACTGTTCCCATCGGACTTTTTCGGTTTCTTGCTGCTTGTGGAAGGAAATCTCGCCAGACCAGGGCAAGACTAGGGCAAGTCTCGCAAGGAGATCACTCGGAGAACGTGTCCGTAGCTGATGGCAGAGACGCGTTTCGTTGGGAAGACATCCCGGACTTGTAGGAGTTGCAGCTTTCGCAGCGGCACCTTTTATTCGGAATGGGCCCTCCGAATTGCTTGTCCAGGATACTACCGGTGTGAAACCACTAGCCGCTTCTCAGGAAAAAGACGAGGCTTTCTACTCCAGTAAAGGGTCGCAGCCCCTAAGAGTAGCTCTAACCTGTCCTATAGGGTCGTGATGAATCAGAATCGACTCCGTGACAGTGGGGTTTGGTTTCTGTTTTGTGCTTCGAACCCCCCAGGAACCCTGCAGACGTCCCCAACTTGTCACGTGACCTTGACTTTGGCTCTTGGCAGCTCCCCCCTTCCCCATACACCCGCATCTCCTGCTGGCTTGCAGCCCCCTCACTTACCCTGGAGCATGCTCCGGTAGGCCCCCTCAGTCACTGCGTACACGTGGGGCGGTACCTCGTGACGCTTCTTGCCCCGATACATGTCTATGATGGCCTCGGTGTAGATGGGCAGCTGCTTGTACGGGTTGATGACCACGCAGAAAAGGCCAGAGTATGTCTGCACAGGGGTGAGGGGAGGGGGTGAGAAAGAAGAGAGAGCCTCAGCTATGTGCAGCTGGCTCAGCTGCACACTACCTACACAAGGGCATCTGTCTGCAGCACAAGTCCCCAAACTTCTTTGGCCTGCAGCCCCTTTTCAGAAATTGAAAAAAACGCAGTGCCCACCCCAGCCCTGGCAATGCAAAACTTTTGTTAGACAGTCTGGTGAGTTAGTTAATTGTGCCAGCCTGGCCGATAATCACATGTGGTGCTGGTTGAAAGGCGGAGGGATAAATGGGTGGTGAAGCCTCGCCTTTCGAGTTCTCGGGTCTCTTGTTTTGTGATGGTTGTATCGGGTGCAGCTGCCTTAGCAGTTCCCTGCTTCAGCTTGCAAGATTGACTTCTTACAAGGCATCCCCAAGGAGAAGCCGCATGGATCTATCCCGATGCAGCCCTGGGTGCTGGAGCAGCCGTGTGGAGACCCCTGCCAGTGCTGAGATGCTTACACGTTCACTGACTCAGCTTTCCTCCTGCAGTCGGCATTATTGCCTCTGTTTTGTGAGGTGGAGGACTTTGTGGACTGGTGTTGGGTTAATGGGTTAATGTTGGACTTGTGGGCTTCGGCAGCATTGGGTTGGGATGTTTTCGTGATGCACCTTTTCTTTACATAAAACTCTCTCTTATACATGAGTCGCCGTGGATTTGTTTCTCCAAAGTACCCAGACTAATACATCTGGTATACAAGATCAAGGGTAGGTATCTGTGTCTGCAGGCCCCACGTGTGGTAGTGATATAGTTTTATGTCAACCTGAAAATACAAAAGTGGAGGGGTGGAGTCTAGCCTGTCAATCAGGTCACAGCCTGCTGGTACCTCCGTGTGGGTGTGGCCTTCTCATAAGGAGGGTCCTGGGAACCTCCTCTCTCTCTCTCTACCTTCGCCTTCCTGTGGATGAACGAAGCTGACACTGCTGGAGCCCTGGAGATGTGTCCACCACCATTGGCTCCTGTGATGTTCCTGCCTTCTGCATGTGGCTTTGTGAGTCGGAAGAGGGACTTATGGACTAGTATCAGACTTACATGGACTTGATCTGGACTGGGCTGTCATGCTTGCCTGATATATAATTGCTTCTTGATATAAAGCTCTCTCGTGCACAAATATGAATGTCACTGGCTTTGTTTCTTAGTCAACCCAGCCTAAGTGCCCCCCACAGGGGACACTTTGAGAAACACAGCAAAACGAATAAGGAGTTAGCTGCTTAGTGGTTAGCAGTTTAACTTACTGTTTAACTAGTTATCTACCTAATCATGTAGTCAGCTACTTGGCTAGCCAGCTTCTGGCTAGCAGTTTCTTTAGTTAGGCCCTTAATTAGGGAGCTACTTCGCCAGCTAGTCATTAGTTACTTAGCTAGCTGATTGATTAGCTGGTTAGCAGCACAGTTAGCTAACCATGGAACTAGTCAGCATCTTGACCAGCAAGTCGGCGACTTGGCTAGCAGACTGATTTCTTGGTTAGTAGCTCAGTTAGCTAACCATTTTAACTAGTCCACAGTTGAGCCAGCTAGTAAACAAGTAGGCTAGCGAGTTATGTAGCTAGTTGGCAGTCAGTGAGCTATCTACCTAGTCAGCAATGTGGCCAGCTAGTCAATGACTTAGCTACCTGGCAGACAGGTTGCTTGGCTGGCCTGCAGCCCTGCAGCCTCCCGCCCCAGCCCCAGACAGCTGAGCTCCCAGGTGGAGAGGGGCGTGGCCCGAGGGGGCGTGGCCGCCGTAGGGGGCGTGGCCGCCGCAGGGTTCCAGCTCCGCGGTGCAGAGCATTTAAAGAGTAGGGTGGGTGGCCGCCCAACCGGTTTGCTGGAGCCAGTTGAGGGCGAGGGCGGGGCGGCCTGGCCACATTCCCTGCGAGGGTATCTCATGCCGGCTGGCGCCCCGTCCCCACTCCCGGCTGGCGGCAGAGCCCCCCTTCTTCGCACCCTACCTCACCACCCAGCCCCCTCCCGCCTACCACACCCCGTTCCCAGGGAGACACCGCAGCAATGGGAACCTGAGCTAGCGGCTAAGGCCCGGAGCCAAAGGTGGACGCCGGCTTCCCCCCTCCCCCTCGGAGCGGCTGGGGGACACGCGGATCTCGAGGTGGGGCTGGGGAGGCCTGCCCGCCCCCGCAGGGCTCTGCGGCCAGCGTCTGGGCCTTCCTGGGAACCCGGGGTTGACACTCCCCACCCCATCACAGCTGCTGTGGGGATTAAGGGCGATAATGGGTGCAGCCAGCCGTAGGAACCAGGCCTGAAAAAGCAATCCGCAATGCAATGTGCGCCCTGCCCCACACCCATTGTCACTCTGAGTTCGAATCCTGGGGTTCCCCAGCTGGGTGGGGCCTGTCCTCTCTGAGCTTCAGTTTCCTTCCAATCCTGGAAAGTGGGGCTATTGACCTGTCCCTGTGAGAGGGCCACGTGGGGGTGGGGGCATCCGACGGACTTCCCGAGAACCCAGTGAAGGAACATTTTGGAGTGACACAAGGCCCAAGTCCATGCGTGGTGGCCATTGGTTAGGGGTAGTGAACCACTTCACTAGTTAGCTACTTAGCCCCCAGTTACTTACCTTGCTACTTGGCTAGCTAGATGTTTAGCCGGTTAACAATTTCGTGAACCTTTTACCTAGCTAGTGTCGTGGCTAGCCACTTGGCTAGTCAGTTGCTTGACTGGTCAGTTAACCATTTAACTATGGAGAGCCACTTAGCCACCTGGACAGCTACTTGGCTAGCCAGTTGCTTAGCTAGTTAACCGCCTATTTTATTATCCTTCCACCTGGCTAGCTACTTGGCAAGCCAGTTACCTGGCTGGTTGGCAGCGTGGTTAACCTATCTGGTTAGCTACTTTGTAGTCAGCCAGTCTAGCCCCCTTCCATTGGGCAACTCCGCCCTCCCCACCACCAGCTAGCCGGCCAACAAATATTTGCTCAGCACGGAGGCAGCAAGCAGGGTGGAGCTAGAAGCACACCTCTAACATTCTCTGGTGGGGGCATTCGAACAGCCAGGTCACCTCGACTTTTCTGGGTCATCCTCATCTGCTAGCTGGGGACAGGAACACCACTTCCCACAGAGGGCAGCAGGGGGTGGGCAGTAAGTTCCTATTGCATCTGGGGGGCTTAACAGGGCCCCTGGCCCACACAGGATGTGTCCCAGACTAGGTAGCTCCAAAAAGTTCAGGGGAAAAGCCCCGTATCTCTTGATGCCCTCTTTCACAGATCTTCTGCAGCTCCTTCTTGGTTGCTTACCAGTGTTACGTCAGGAGCTTCCCTTCTTCAAGCTGAAAGGGGTGGGGGTGATCCCTACCTTGCAGCCTCATCACCCTGGAAAGGTGTTTTTGAGTGAGCAGCACCCACAAGTGCTGGAGGTTATTTCTGAGGCCCACTTCCCCCACCCCACCCCTGCCATCCCGACAGGCCCTTCTCCCTCCCTTCCGGGGTGTGTAGTTTGTCCTGAGCTTTTTCGCCAGTGCAGCGCAACCACTTAGCGAGTCAACTGCACTTGGCCCTCTTGGCAGGTGCTGTTCTAAACGTTTCTCCAATGCCCAGAAGCTGCGAGCAAGGGAGACGAGGAAGGACCACCCCCTGGAGCCCTGGGGGTGAGCCCTGGCCTGCTGGCCCCTGGATCTCCGACTTCCAGGCTCCAGAACTTTGATGGGACCCGTGGTATGTTGTTTTTATGCAGCAGCAGTGACAGGAAACCGACACCCTGGCTGCCACTGTGACCACCCGCAGGACCAGATGGATCCCAGGTTTCTTTCCCAGGACTTGAAAAGGCTGGAAGCTTCCCTGGTTTTCTGCCCCATCACGAACCTGAGAAGGTTGGCGGTTCGAACCCACCCAGCGGCTCTGAAGAGGAAAGGCCTGGCGAGCTGTGTCCAGCAAAGATGGCAGCCAAGAACACCCCACGGGGCGGGTTCTACTCTGTGGCCCCCGGGGTGGTCAGGAGTCGGAAGCGGATCAAGGGTAAAGGGGTTTTTGCAAAAGTGGGTGAGGCAGAGGGAAGGGCCAGGGCATCACCCCGCCCAAAGCCCTCCAGTCAATCCCTCTTCTGCCACTACAGAGGAGCCCTGGTGGCACAGTGGTTTTGCATGGGGCTATGATCTGCAAGGTCGGCAGTTGGAAACCACCAGCTGCTACTCGGGAGGAAGATGGGACTTTCTATTCCCATGCACAGTTACAATCTCAGAAACCCACCAGAGGCAGTTCTACCCTGCCCTACAGGGTTGCTATGAGTCAGCATCCACTCAATGGCAGCGAGAGGGCGTGAGGGAGGGGGAGGGAGAGAGAGAACTACCATAAGGTGAGGGGTCTTGAACCAGCCAATGCCCCTTTCAAAGTCTGGGTCTCCTCTTTTGAACCATAGGACTTCTTATTTATACTCTACACTATCCTTTGAGACCCTCAATAGAAGCCATTTTCAACGAGCAAGGTTGTGAGACTCTAGCCTTCTAAGCCAGCGCTGTGGACATGACTCTGGGGCCAGCTGCCTGGCCTCAAATGTCAGCATGGGAGTCATGTATGGGTGTGCGACCCGGGCCAAGTCACTTCACATTCCTGGGTGTTTGATGATAACAGCAGTCCCTGGCTGATAGCCCACAGCACTCCGGACAGTGCTCGGCCCAGCGTAAGTGCTCAGTAAACATCGGCTGACCCACTCATACGTGTCATTCCTTACATGGTTCTCAACATGTCCGTCTCGCTGACCCTGTTTGCTCTGATGTTAAGTGGGATTCATAACCACTTGGGTACCCATTAGAACCTCCCACTCACGGGGTCCAGTCTGAGTCCCAGCGACTCAGCCCCGGGTGGGTTTCCAAGACTAATAACACTTTACAGGAATAGAAAATACCGTCTTTCTCCCCCGGGAACGGCTAGTGGTTTCAAACTGCTAACTGTGAGGTTAGCAGCCCAGCGCATAACCACTGTGCTACCAGGTCCCATCCCTTTACCAAGGGCATCGAGTCAATTCTGACTCCTGGTGAGCCTTAGGGGCAGGGCAGCACTGCCTCCTGTGGGTTTCTAAGAGGATAACAGTTTATAGCAGTGGTTCTCAACCTGTGGGCCGGACCCCTTCTTTCAAAGGGTCACCCGATTCATCACAGTTGCAAAATGACAGTGATGAAGTAGCCACGGAAATAATGTGATGGTTGGGGGGCACCACCACATGAGGAGCTGTATTAAAGGAAGGTTGAGAACCACTGGTTTATAGGGACAGAAAGCCTCATCTTTCTCCCAAGGAGCATCTGGTGGTTTCGAACTGCTGACCTTAGCAGCCCGCCATGTGATCACTCCGCCCCCCAGGGCACCTCTCCCATCCCTTTAGACCCAACACCAAATTCCCTGCCATCAATCAAGTCATTGTTGCCTCAGTGGGTCTCTGAGACCGTTTTCCGGAGTAGAGAGCCCTGTCTTTCTCCCACGGAGCTGCAGGTGGTTTCGAACTGCGGACCGTGTGCATCGCAGCCCCACATGGACCCACCACGCTACCAGGATAGAACCAGCTTAAAACAAACACCGCTGCGCACTTCACATCCCCGAGATCCTAATTTGAATGGCCTGGGGGCGGAGCTTGTTGAGAACCGAGGGGGAGTGGCTTCTTCTGAACAGAGGCTGTAAAACGGCCCCCAGCGAGTCTCCGAGGCTGTCCCCTTGACAGGGGCAGGTTCGCCCAGGTCTTTTCTCTTTCGGAAACCACGGACGGGACTCGAACCGCTGGACGGCAGCCGAGCGCTTAACTGCTGTGCCACTCGGGGCGGGAGCCAGGCGTCGGTGGTTTTACGGGAAGTCCCCCAGTGGTCCTCAGGTGCAGCCAGGGTTTAGAACCCCGCTGCACAACCCACCCCCCCTTTGCTGTAAAGATCGAGCTGGGTCGACACCCACTGCCCATCCCGCTCTCACCAATCACTCTGCAGGCTGCAAGGGCAGCCCCTGCCAAGTGGTGAAATTAGCAGGGAAGACTACCCAGACCTGCTCCGTCCAAGGTCACTGGGTGACCCTGGGCAGGGGACTCGACCTCTCTGTATGTCAGTTTCTTCATCCGTGAAGTGGGGGAGAGGGTACTTACTAGTTCTTGACAAGGATTGGAGACAAGGGGTGTCTGACAGCGCTTGGAGGAGTGCCCCCAAGGCAGACCCGCAGCCGGTGGGGCAACCCTGACTTGTGGTGACCTCATGGCTGGCCGAGTGGTACGGCCTCCCCGCTGGGTTATTTCTGGCTGTCATTTTTACAGACCCAGATTACCAGGCCTTTCTTCCGGGGCATCGCCAGGTGAGTTCAAGTCACCAAAAGTCACGTTAGGAGCCCATCACGTCCAACGTGTGCCCCCTGGGGACCTTTAGTCCCATCCTCAGTCAATGCTTCATTAAAACAAGGTTATTGGTATTCTGCTTCTCGGGCCTCAGTTTCCTCTTCTATAAAATGGGGATAATAAGACTTGACCTTGCTTGAAATGAATTCAGACAGGGCCAGCATGTCGCACAGAGCGGGTTAGCTTTCTGTCCAAGCCACTCATTCTCTCACTGCCATCGAGTGGACGCCGACTCACAGTGACCCTGGAGGGCAGGGCAGAACTAAACTGTCCCTTTGAGTTTCTGAGACTGTAACTGTTCATGGGAGTAAAAAGCCCCTCTTTCCTCCCATGGAGCGGCTAGTGGTTTCAAACTGCTGACCTTGGGGATCACAGCCCAATGCGTAGCCACTGGGCCACCCTCTGTACTCAGAGGTCCTCATCATGATGTATCCCTAAGCCCTTTGTCTAACCCTTTGGGAGGCGTTCAGAATTCAGAACTCTTTGTATTTCTGGGACATCATCTGGTGCATGGACCTATATTACCCACACCCCTAAAGGCACCTGATGCAAACCCTGTCATCAACCCTTAATAACTTCACCAGTTCGCACAGGGAGAGCCACACATCGTGGGATAAAGATGACCCGCAGTTTCCCAAGAGTTTGGGTTGGATTGGGATCTTGGGCATCTATTTCTGGCTCCCACACCACCTGAGGTTTTGGAGTGGTGGCTCTGGGGGGCTGCATATTAAGTGAGCAGACCGTCATTTTCGTACACGACACCCCCCCCCAGCAGAGGCCCTGAGTGGCACAGATGTTTAAACACTCGACTGTGAGCTGAGTGGCTGGCATTCCAAACCCATTCAGAGGCACCTTGGAAAAAAGGCCCAGGGATCTGCTCCTGAAAATTCCTTGCCTCCAGAGCTTCCTAAACCTTTTGATCCAAGAGTTGACTGGAGACTCCCTGTCGAAAGGGAGAGAAGGCTGACCCGAATTTCAGATTCCTATGGAATCCAGACTTCCTGGATCCATAGATCCTGAGTGAATCCTACATGGGAAACAATGACCTGGAGACACTCTTTCAACCACAGGGTGGAAAATATCCCCTAAGGTCTTCTTTTAAAAAGCAGACAACGGTTCAGCTTGACTTACAGGGAAGGTCAGCCCTGAGCACTGGGCTGTTCTAAGAACTTTCACTGTGGGATGACATGGGCCACAGAAAATTGAAAGACGAGGTGGGAAATGCAGGGGCCGACGAGTCCATGTGGATGGGGGACGAACACCCCGGAAGAGGGGGTGAGACTGGTACCAACTGGATGATTGTGATAGATTCTGGGTTCTTGAATTACACACGTATGAGGAGAGTCTGGTTGGTGTAAGTTGGGGCCAAGTGTCTATTCTCACCAGTACGCAAAATAAATCGTATGCACACAAACAGCTCAAACCTACATCTCGGGGGTCTCTCTCACCCCGTTTCAGGATAAAGCTGGGGTCCGCTAGCCATCGGGGACCACGAGGCGGGCTCCCAGGCCGGAGCGCACCCCTTACTCACGTAGATGAGGCCGGAATAGTAGCGCTCGCGCAGGTTGTGCAGCACCGAGGCCTCGTTGAGGCAGGTCAGCTCCGCCATGTCCTCGGCCTTGCTGAACTTGGGCGGGTTCATGCGCTGGATCTGGTCTCGAGGCAGCCGCAGCCGCCGCCCGCTCTC